ATTCCATGAATTGTTTCAGAAACTGAAGGATGTGCTGGGCCAGGGCTAAATGGCTAAATCTTTTAAATTAGTCTTAAAGGTCTGATTAATTTAGAAGCTCACTTTTAAAGCCATATAATACCCTTGTAAAAAATTCACAGCATTTGGTACTTTGTTGTTGTTGTTTAGTTGTTAAGTCGTGTACGACTCTTCATGACCCCAGGTACTTTACCTGTTATTAATTTATTAAAAAGACTTACTTCAAATGTTTTAATTTTAGCAAGATGACTGCATATTGGTCATGTTCTGTTTTTTTGTAATCCCCAGATATACAGATTATATGTATCATTTATACAACTGCAAACACATACCGTGTTTCCCCCAAAATAAGACAGGGTCTTATATTAATATAAGGGCATTAGGGCTTATTTTCAGGGAATGTTTTATTTTTTTCATATACAACACTACATTTATTCAAATACAGTCATGTTTTCTTCTTCTGGTTGCTGCACAATGGTGGGTGGTGGGATTTCACTTAACTGGGGCTTATTTTGGGGGAAGGACTCACATTACGAGCATCCTAAAAAATCATACTAGGGCTTATTATCAGGTTAGGTCTTGTTTTCAGGGAAACGGTATAAATTTTGCATACATAATACATATTGTGAAAAAGATACCTATAACTCAGAACTGACTTGACAGCACATTATTATTATTATACACATCACAAAGCAACACACACACACAAATACTCTCTCAAACACACATTTGCATGTGTTTGCAGAGTCATCTCAATTGAAGCATGTCTTCAGGATAATACAGTATTTGTTCAAGTAACATAAATTATTAAATTTGGAAATGTTCAGGAAAACATTCTTTGCTTTATATTTCACCATTTCATTGCTATCTAGTGACATTCTCAAAGTCTGCATTATTTACTAGTCATAAAACTGGTAAATGACATCACCATTTGGCCATTCGGAATTACTCACCTTGGAAAAGGTAGTCTTCTGTGTTTTGATCAGGATTATCAGAACTTCCAACAATATCAAACGGTGATCTTCCTGCCATCATTTCAAACATCAGCACTCCTAAAGCCCACCAGTCCACACTAAATCCTATGATTTAAAATAAGAGTACAACTAATCAAAGGATTTGATAGGATCATTCTGTTTATTGGACAAAGCCTTTCAAGACGCAATAAAAAGTAACAAGTAGAGCACGAAGATGAACAGTGCTTCCAGAAGTTACATAATCAAGGATTTGGTGGTAATCTACATGAACAAGAAATTGCAGCCTTTTTTCAATCTCTTCATGAATACTATGGCCACTCAAACTTTCAAACTGGCAGATGAGATAGTAATACTATGTATTTCTTTTTTCCAGAAAAAGATCTCTATATAAAACTTATTTTGTGCATGCAGAATCAAGCAGGTGGGGAGGTTCACATATTTTTATTTTTGTGTGAAGGCAAATTGCAGGAGTTTCACCTGAAGCTTGAAGTAGTGCAACAGACAGCAGGTATATACCAATTTTTTCTTGAAAGTGGATGTAACTATGTTCTTCTTTGTACCTGCTGCAGAGCTTATAGGTCAGGTGTTGCATTACCATTGTAGCACCTCTGAAAAATGGTTGGAGAATTTCTCCTTCACGTGGAGACTGTTGGTGAAGCTCTCTCCCCAATTTCTCTGTATATGTGTGTAAGGCATATAATTTCTAAAAGCAATTTACGCACAAATATTGCGTGTGTAGTTGTGCTAGAATGGAACTCTCTATCTAAAATGAATTATGTTCTCTTAGTCAGTTTCATTTCAACCAAGATGTAAATACATTCTACTATGCATTATGTAACAGGTTTCTCCCTACTGCTGAATGAAGCCCTTTGTAAGGAGATTAAACTAAGGAGAATTTGTCAGTGCAAAATTATTTGACATCTGGATCCAATTCCAGGTGTTAAGAGCATTAAAATTTGACCGCAGAACAGGAAATCAACACCAAAGAGAAATGATGTAAGATTGCAGCTTGTGAACTTTAAATCAGAATGACATGCCTTCTATTTGTGGTACAATCATTTTCTTAAAAGAACATAAATATACATAGACTGTGCCAATCACTACCTTTAGATAAATGTTCAGTGGGACATCTGTGGTATTGTGTTCTAGAAAAGCATCAAGAAGTCCTTAAGTTCTCTTTATGCTTTTAGCCCACTATTTCAAATGCAAATGAAGAAATGGACTATAGTACATGGAAGCAAAATATTGTAGCATTTTGTGTGAGTTTTTGTGGATCAAAATCCATATAAAGAGCACATTTCTTATGTCTGAAGAAATGGATTTTTACCTATGAAAGCTCACTCACTCTCTGAAGCTAATATTTAACATACAATATTTTGCTTTCTTTGCCTTTCGTTTTCCCCCTTTAATTTTGGCAACATGTTGAGACATACTAACAGGGCTACTTCCTTGGACGTCCACGACAGTTTATTCCAAATAAAACAGAACTAAAAAGGTGCCATAAGACTTTGTTTTTTTTGCCTTTAGATTGGGAAAATTAGAGTGTCGACTACTGAAATTGTACAGTTCAACCTGCCTTTAATACAGATTAATTCTTCACTACCACTAAAGTTTGCACTTGAGATCTGACATGTTAAATTCCTATGTCATCATGCAAAATGGAGCCAAGGAGGAAAAGCGAATATACTCGTCTGTAAGGTAAGAGTTGGTCCCTGCTGTCTATTTGCAAAAAGTGCTGCTTGGTTTCATCAATGATAATTCAAATTTAAATTATGTGTTCTACTAGAGATGGGAATGAACCCCTGGTTTGGCAGTGTTTGTTTCCTGGCTAAACAGTTTGGCATCCTGCCCCCTCCAGAGGGCACCCATTCAGCAGCAGTGCCCAAAAGGGCCTGGGCAGGGTGCTGCTGCCAAGTAGGTGCCTGTTGGAGGAGGCAGGGCACCCAACTGCAGATCCGCTGTTCAGCCAGGAAATGAACACTGCTGAATTGCTGAACCAGTGGTTTCTGCCCATCTCTATGTTCTACATGCTTAATGCCAATTAGTGATAACAGGGAAAGAGAAAAATAAGTGACTGAAGTCCACACTGTTTTGATGGGTGAATTCCAAGCAGTTTTGCATATTAACTGCTCATTCAATTTGGCACCAATAGGATTGAGATTTACCATAGTCTTCTCCTCGTAAGATCTCGGGAGCAATGTAATTGGGAGTCCCACAGAAAGTACTGGTTGTGTCTCCAGGTCTTAATCCTTCCTTTTAAAAACAGAAACAAGCAGGAAGATATCTTACATCATTCAATGATTTCTTCTAATTCCCATCATAGTCACAAACCAACTAGCTTGGTAACACTTGAACTTACTCTCTTAACGGATAAGATCAAGATTGAGAAGCCTCCAGAGATGTGAGGGCAACACTCCCACACACCTCTAAACCTTGGAGAGCCACACCCATTCCCACAACCTCATTTTATTTTACAAACTGACTTTTTTAAAAATGGGGGGGGACACACGGGACTTTACCCTCTAAAAGTATTTAAAAAACATTTAAAATCATGGGGTGGTGGGGCCCAAGTATATTGGGCAGCCCTCAAAAGATGATAAGCTTTCATTCCAAGCTGTCAAAGGGTACAATGAGTTTTGGGGTGCTGGGGCCCACATTTGGGCCACCTGGTGAGGTGCATGCTTTTTACCTTGATTTAAGAGTATGGACATATTGTCTGTTCTTTCATATATGAAATAGCAGAAGTTCATGCTCTATTTCACTAGAACTGTTTTTATTTCACTTCCTGGCTGGAAACATATCTCATTCAGGACAGACATAAGATATCGCAAAGCATGTCTGATACTATCCTATGTTCATCTTGTTGTCTATTATGAAGTAGAAATCGCTGTAGAACAAAAACGTCGTAATGCGAAATTAAAAAGTCCATAGAAACGCATTAAAACCCGATTAATGCGTTCCTAGGGGCTTGAAACTCACTGTCCAGCGAAAATCCTCCATAGTGCAGCCATTTTCGCTGCCTGTGCAGCGAGGAATCCGTCCCAGAAAAGAGCGGGGAGCCATGTTTTTTACCCGGCGGCCATTTTGAAACCGCTGATCAGCTGGCCGAAAATTATCACTTTGCGAGAATCGGTTTCCGAGGCGGGGAACTGATCACCACAAAGCAAAATTCCCCCATAGGAAACATCATTTTACAATCGCAAAACCTTCAACGTAAAGCCATTTCGTTGTAAAGCGGAGCACTCGTAATGCAAGGCACCACTGTACTTCAATCACCTAAAAGGGCAAAGAGTGTTTCACTTTGAGGCTTAGAGGTCTGGGATGGCAGACTGCAGAAAACAAAGTTCCTAAGATTATCTGGGTTCACATGCCACAAATTGTAACCAGGGCACTGGCTCCTGCTGCCTAAACAAGCCATGAAACTTTGGTACATGCTTTGTTTAGTACAATGGTTTCCCAACCTTATTCTCGGACTTAAACTCCCAGAAGCCTTTACCACTAGCTGTGTTGGACAGGATTTCTGGGAGTTGTAATCTAAAAACATGTGGGGACCCACGGTTGAGAACCACTGGTTTAGTGTAATAACCAAAACGCAACAGGCTCTCTGGCTTGTCTGTCCAACAAGAAGTCAAAGACATAACCTTACAACAAAATATTATGAGGAGAAAGACAAACTAGAAACCTGGACTTGGTTCAGATGAAATGTCATAACAAATATATCACTGAAAAAAGTGCGTTGTTTGCTGAACCCCCCACCCCCACCCCCAATGCGGGAAAAGACTCGGCAGCAGGAACAAGCAAATTGACTCATCCACAGCTAATTTGACCACAATCTACCACACTTCTTTTTTTTTAAAGGCATCCAATTAAGAATATCAAACTGGAAGCCCTGTTCAATGCTAAAAGCTCGTCTCTCACCTTGCACATGCCGTAGTCAGTTAGTTTGATATGCCCCTCAGAGTCAAGCAGCACATTATCCAGTTTCAAGTCCCTATAAATTATTCCTCGTTCGTGAAGATAGTTCAGTGCTAAACTGATTTCTGCAGAGTAAAACCTAAAATGAAATTAAAATATCAGGACTCTGAATTGGAGTGTGGCAGCCACTGTGAATTATAGCAACCCAGTACTTAGCATGTTCCAAGCACTAGCATATTAATGGCAGGAAGACTACTTTTTCTGCTTTGAATGACAAAGAAAGAAAGAAAGAAAGAAAGAAAGAAAGAAAGAAAGAAAGAAAGAAAGAACTTCAACAGCTGACTTTCAGTCTTTGAGCAGTTTGGGAAGCTTTCTGAGGTAGAATCTAATCAAATGTGCTAGTGGAGATCAAACTATGTATGGGTCCTGGGAAATGTAAGGGCGCTTCCTAGAAAGTTTGAGAAAATAAATCTGAAAATAAATGCACACAGAAGCAAAGTAGTTTCTAGTCTTTGCCTTTCTGGAACAGAATGAGCAGAGAAGGCAGATTCAGAAAATGCAGCAGTGGTAACAATTCTGGATTCATGCTTGAGTTCAGAGCAAGAAAAATGGATCTGGACACATTTTTAGCATCTCTGAAACAAGATCAAAAATACCAAAATGCAATTCCTTTTTAAGGGAAAGCTGGTGGGAGAACTAGATTAAAAAATAGTAAGTCTAAACTTCAAGAAACAAAAAAGAGGAATTTCTAGTAATGAGACACCTTTGTTTGTCAACCCACAACAGCATGCAAATATATCACACTAGAAAAACATACCTGGCATGCTCTTCTGGCAGTTTCCTTTGGCGCTGCATATGAAACATGAGATCCCCTCCATTTACATACTCAATAACAAAAAACAATCTGAAACACAAAATTATGCAAAAAAGTTAATTCTCATTATATCAGATTTCTGATCATGGCCCACTATCATGCAATCTGTATATTCACATAAGGATACATATTTTTCCTGGATATTTATCGATCCGCTTTATTAAGGCTAGGAGCGTGAGACGTTTGCTAGGTACTTTGAGGAGAAAATCACTCACATTTGCCCAGAATGTGATGTCACAAATTTTCCTGTGTCTAGGGAGGTGTACAGTACACTATCTAGTTTGGCTTTCTGGAATCAGTTTCAATTGTTGAGGACTGATGAGGACAAAATGCTTGAACTGGTCCCTCCAACCACACATATATTTGATTCATGTTCATTGTGGCTGATAAGATCTAGCAGGGATGGATTAACTGGGCTGGTTCAGGCAGACCCATAGTGATTGAGCTGTGGGGTACTGCAGGGTTCCATGCTCCCATGCTGTTCAAGACCTATATGAAGCCGCTGGGAGAGATCATCAGGGGTTTGGGTACTGTCAATATGCTGATGATACACAGCTCTGCTTCTCCCTGTCATAGGAGCTGGTTGGGACTGTGCAAGTGCTGGACTTATGTCTGGAGGCTGCAATGGGCTGGATGGGGGCCGATAAACTGAAGCTTAATCCCAACAAGATGGAGCTTCTGTGATTCCCAGGTCTGGGAATTGGGCAGGAGACTTATTTTGAATGGAGTTACACTCCCCCTAAAGGAGCAATTGCATAGTTTGAGGAGTAATTATTTGTTCATATGATTCCTACTCCTAGAGTCATCTTTGTCATTGGAAGCTTGTGTGAACTCAGTGGCTCAGAGTGCCTCGAATCAGCTTCAACTGCCCCACTATGTACGGCCACTTCTCTATACATCTTCAGCTTAATGGAAAGATCAATTCCACGCAGAGGATCAAAGTCGTCAGAAAGCAACACTGGCTTTATTGATTTGTGAAGTCACTTCATTGGCAATGATAATGCAATAGGAGACAGTAATTCCAGGGTATGTGAACTGCAGAAAGGGGGTGCTCTTATACCTTCAGAACTGGTTCCTCATAAAGTTCCTGAAACAGTTTGGGGCATAATCACTGTCTTATTAGTACTGATATTCAAGGTGAAATTGTTATTGATGGAGGAAAATAAATTAAGACTTCTTTGCCTATCCAGAGAGCTCATCTTCAGCAAATGATATCCAGTGTGGTGTAGTGGATAGAGAGACGGACTAGGATTAAAGAAGCTTGGGTTTGAATACCCACTCAGCAAAGTGAAGCTCTGGATTTTACAACAAAGGCTTCTACCATGTTTGCAGAACAAATTACTGATGTTCAAGCTGGATTCAGGATGGGGGGGGGGAAGGAACACTAGAAATCATCTTGAAAATATACCCTGACTACTAGATGCCTATGAAAGAATTCCAAAATAAAATTAGTTGCACAATTTTCGTTGACAGTATCTCTAGTTTCAATTCACAGTTCTGGTTCTCTAGTATGTCCCTGAAAATCCATATTTCCTTGTAAGTAAACATTTCCTTCTAATCATCTTATGAGATTCGCACTGCAACCTCGCTGGGTACTTTTAAGAACCAACTAAAAACATGGATGTATAGGCAGGCCTTCCCTTCCAGTTAATTCCTGTCCTCTTTCCTTTTTTTCCTCTTTATTTGATTTATTTTTATTTTTCCCATCTTATAGAATCATTTAATTAATTAATTGTTATAAATTTTTTAAGAACTTGTTAGAAGAACCCAATCTTTTTCTGATGAAGCTGCATAACACAATAGTGTTATAAGTAGGGTTATAATTTATAATTTAGAATATAAAAATGAATTGCGATATTCAACAAATATTGCTGGTTTGTCAGATATTCGTTGCTTTGTGTTCTTGAGGTCCAGAGACCCCAACGAATACGAAGTAATGAATATAACCCTTTTATATTTATCCTGTTGTCTATCAGGCTTTCCCCCTCTTTCCAGTCCCAAGAGGGCATAGAAAAAGAACATAAGGGGGACCCAAGAATTTCCCCCACTTCCACTCTCTTTACGAAGACAGTGTGGCTGGGCAACCGCTTTGATCCTTTCCCTCATCTTCCTATGACCCTGTGGGCATAGGAAGGGGAGAGAAGGGATCAAAGCATACCCCCAGTCCCACTGTCTTTGCAAAGGCAGTGGGGCTGGGGAATTGTTTGGTTCCAACTTTCCTCCTCTTCCTATGCCCGTGCAGCATAGGAAAGCTGTGGGGGGCATTTTTTTTTAAAAGATAGCACCACAGGCTGTCTAAAAATACATATGACCCAACGGAACCAATGAATTGATTTGTGGTTCCTCAGGCAACTGGGGGCAATTTGTGGGTTGTGGGTCATCAGGAACAAAACATCTCTAGTTACAATGTACTGATTACATTTTGTACTGGATTTTTTAAAAGGCATGTTACTCTTAGAAGAAATAAGCGTCACTATACAATTACCTGCTCTCTGTCTGGAAACAAGAATGGAGACCAACAAGGAAAGGATGATTTGAAGCCTGCTCAAAAACGTGTTTTTCTGTCTGCACCCAATCAATATCCTAATAGAGAACATACAAAATTATAATACTAGTATCTGTAAAAGTTTTAGTAAATAATCTGCAGCAGGAAGGACTCAGTGGGGTAATTTACTAAGTGTGGTAAACCAAGATTTAATATAAAAATGAGAAACATCACTATGGTTTTCATTCCTGGCTCCTATTGCCAACAACCCCCGGACTCTACACATAATTACTCTGAAATGGGAAAGCCACATCCATTTCTAAATTTGTAAAGTCAGAAGTCAAGTGTTCTGTTCTGAGATGCAGTAATTTGTGGCAATGCCTCATGAGTCTCTCAGATATAATTGAAGGCTCGTGCTATGTTTCACACAGGACTATATTCCTCTCTGTCTTTAAATTGCCTATAAAAGCTAACTTCCTTTTAATGTATTTATACCACTAGATTGCTCACTCTATCTTGAAATGCAGAGCTATTTGAAATATCTTTTCAGTTCCTAGAGTGCATAGAGATCATTGCAAGACAAAAAGATTGGTTGGACACTTTTCTGGCTAATATTTAATAATTTTTATGAGCCAAATAGGAACTGAAGGCAGGAGAGAGCTGCCCACTTCCCATTCCACCACCTTTCATACCACTCCAAAGGGTCTTCCTCTGTGGTGTAGCTTTGGAGGCATGAAAAGAGAGGAACTCCACAATTAATGCTTGGATTCCAGATACATAAAATCGAACACGTCAATCAGGTAAAATAAAACTATGAATGTTCAGAAAGAATATGCAAAATTTAAATGTGTGTCTTAATGTGGGCGCAACACGTAAGTACTGCTTACCTCGTCATCATTGACTAGTTCTTTTTTCACAACTTTCATTGCATAAATGCGTTCTGTTTTCTTTAATCGAACTAGAAGCACTTTTGCATAACTTCCCCTGCCTATAACGCGAAGTAGATCAAAATCTTGGAGACCCAGACTGGAAGATACTTTGTCTCTAATACTTGTTGCCTGTAATTCAATGGAAACATTTAAAGTATATATTATCTGCATGGTATTAAGCTTTAAAATTTCCAAAGTTTTGTACCTCTATTATTAAGAATATGAACTGATACAACGGTATTATTTCAAGTCTCTTAGAGGTCTAAAAATGCACTAACAACTTGGCACAAACGGAAGAACAACACCTGAGTGTATCAAAATAGAAAGGAATTAAAATACCTCTTTTTCCTCACCAACATGGTCCAAGCTTTCATGACTTGAAGGATGATATGGAATCACTGTAAGTAAAAAAAGGGCAAAAACAAATCAAGTCTCTAAAATAGAATTCTTTTTGCAAGGTCTTGGTACTTTCTTTTAGACAATTCTGTTTAGGGCTGCAAAATGCAAGACTGCTGGAACTTCCTGTAAAGCAGTGGTCCAAAACCTTTTTGCAACAGTGGACCGGTTGGGGGGCAGGGTCCGTGGACACCCTCCACACTCACGAGTGGGCATGGCATGTTCGCAGATGGGCATTGTGTGCTTGTGGGTGGGCATGGTGCACTCACACACATGGGTATGGTGCACTCGCGGGTGGAAATGCACTTGTGCACATTTGTGTGAGCATGTGTGCGCCATGCCCACCATGCGTGCGTGCAGGGGGCGGGAGATCTGTCTCCGTGGCCTGGTCCTGTGAAGCCCATGGACCGGCACCGGGCCGCGGACTGGAGGTTGAAGACCCCTGCTATAAAGGAATTAATTTTATTTGTTTTATGGGATCTCAGCGTGCCAGAAGTCACTTGTAAGAATCCACAGGGAACTGCAGGGCAAATTACATCAGATTTAATGGTAAAGTATGGTTGTGCCTCAATTCCTTGCAGTTCTCCCAACACTGTATATTTAGGATTGACAGTGTATACTCTTTTAGATACTGACATTCATGATACACAGGTGAACAATTCATTATATTAAGCAGCAAGACAAGAACTTGCCTAGTTTTTTAGTTACACTGAATGACGATTTTAAAACAAATACATAGAGGCATAATGACAAACAAAATATTATGTATTTAATATTCAATATCCCTTGAATATGAATACAGGAAACATAGCTATTACCAGGTTCTATGTTATCAGGATGCACTGATGAATGATCCATTAGCTCCTATAAAAGGTAAAAGAATAAGTTTTCAAGTTTTACATTTTCTTCAAAGAATTATGCAATTGATTCAATCTGAGGTTGTGGCTCTACAGACAATTACCAGGAGGCTATAATTCTCCTTCAGCTTGGTACCCTTCCTTACAAATAATGATCCACAATATCAAGCTGCACATTCCTCTGATAAGAAATCAAAATACTGTAAAAATTAAGGGCCTCACATTTTTCATGTTTCATTCAACTACTTCAGACAATCTTTTTTTAGTTAGCAAAATTAGGCAGGATAAAGTGGCATCCATAGTATTATTCAGCTGCTTGAATAGACACTACCACACATTACCAAAAGAGTTTTTAAAAACTTTCAATCATGTGACAAAGAAAGTATGCCCTCTTTGAATTCCATGGTTTTACATATCAGGGCATAATAGAAATCATCTGGTCCATAGGAGGCCTGAAAATTAGATAAGTACAACTTCAGATGAGCAACAACAGATGACATATACCGTGTCATGATTTATTTTACAAAAATAAAGCCAAAATGGAGGAGCCATGTGTGAAAAACTAAGTACACCTTTACTGCTTCCATAGGAATTAAGAGGCTAAATAGCAGCCAGATGCTGCTAAACAATTGCCATTGAGTAACTGATCATCAGCAAGTGTGACCACCTCTATAAAAATCAAAGTGTCAGCAGTCTGCTAGTCTGGAGCACTCAGGTGTGTGTTAATGCAATGCTAAGGAGGAAACACATAGCAATTATCATAAAGATGCAATTGTTGCTGCCCATCAATCTCAGAAGGGTTATAAGGCCATTTCCAAACAATTTAAAGTCCATCATTCTACAGTGAGGAAGATTATTCACATACAGAAAATATTCAAGACAGTTACCAATTTTCCCATGAGTGGACATCAAAGCAAATTCACCCCAAGGTCAGACCACGCAATGCTCAGAGAAATTGCAAAAAACCACAAAAACCCTAGAGTTACATCTCAGACTCTACAGGCCTCCATTAGCATGTTAAATGGTAAAATTTATGACAGTACAATTAGAAGAAAACTGAACAAATATGGTTTGTTTAGAAGGGTTGATAGGAGAAAGCCTTTTCTCTCTAAAAAGAACAAGGCAGCATGGCTTAGGTTTGCAAAATTGCATTTGGACAAACCACAAGACTTCTGGAACAATGTCCTTTGGACAGAAGAGACGAAAGTGAAGCTGTTTATTTATTAATATCACTTACTGGTGGTAGTGGTTGTCGATCACATTCTTTGTTGACAAGTTTATGACATTTTTTATGAACTAGAAGTTTGCAATTGATGCATTTATAACCCTGGCGCCCCAGTCCCCATATCCGGTCAGAACAGAAGGCACAGTGAGCTCTCTGAAAAACAGACAGACAATAAGCATAAACAATTAACATCCAGATATTAATTCTTAAACTATATTGTAACTCAATGTAGCTCATCCTGTCTGTTTTGCTTGTGAAATGCTACATGTAGAAAGCCATGAAAGATACTGAAATTTATTGTATACCCTTAGGATTTTCCTCCACAAATGATTGTTTTCTTATAGTTCATAGCTTGTTGTCCTCTAGATTCCAATAGCCTCCCATTAAATGAAGACGTTTTTTAAAATTCTGTAGTTTGCATGCCCTTTTAAAAAAAGAATTACTTTGGGCATTCTCAAAGCACACTTGCTTCTTTGCTTCTTTAATTAATTAACTTTGTATCTACCCATATAGTGCCTAAGCACTATTCTACATTAAAATTTTTCCTAATTAAACATCTATATCACACAGTTCTAAGCTATATACAGTATATATAGTTTAGAATATATGTAGACAGAGGATAAAGAATATATATATATTGCTCCTAGGGAAGGGAAAGCAAAACTTATTTTTCACTTCTGTTTGACAGCAAGACTCCTTGTACTCTCTATTCAGAAAGCAAGGTAACCGGTACCTGAACATTTTTGGCAATGTTATCTTCAGAACCATGAATATGGAACAGTATTAAACCTCTGGAGTAGAAAAGACGTTAAAAGACTGAATGACAAAGCAGCAAGTCACTAGCTTTAATCTCTTTGCCACAACTACAATAAGTTGTATTAGCCTATTTGACATAATGAGAAAATATTATTCTTTATTAGAAGGCTAGTGTAAATATTACAAGATACAATTCTATTAGACAAGAAACAAATCAAAATGAAATACAAGACAAAAATGTTGTAGCAACTTAAAGACTAATGGCTCTATTTTAAGTGAGTTCAATTCCTCAGAAGTCTTTAAAATGCCATAATCTCTCTCTCTCTCTCTCTCTCGTTGTTTTATTTCTTATCTAATATGTTGATGTAGACCAACGGGGTCCGAGAAAACATACAACTCTGGCTCATCTCTTAGCAGGTAAAACCAGTCTCCTGTTTCTAATGGTTCAGGAGACTGGTGAATTATTGCTTATGTCACAAAAGGAATGCAAAAAGATTCAACCATATCTTAACTTGTTATGCAAACATATTATCATTTAAAGGCAGCCATTTTGTGTGAAGCACTTTGAATATCCTAAAGCAATATATGAATACTTTTAGATATCAGAAACTTTCATTTTCCACTATTACTCGCCTGATCAGCAAGCACGAGTGCAAAGCTCACTAAAAAGTAAGTATTAAAAACTTTAAAAGAACATTTCGCTGAAAATTACAGGGTTATCAGAAATAAAAAGTCTTACATATAAAGTTTTATTATATTTAAAAGTAAACAAATTCCAGGTGAAGTAGCACGTGATAGGAAAATCTGATATTTTAAGGATTCTTTTACTCACTATCAGTATTTGAATAAAGGGAATTAGTCTTTTGGTACCACAGGACAATATCTATTTTTAAAAGGCGAAAACATACACATTAGAAGAAAGCTATAGCTAAAAAAGAATTCTAGATAAAATATATTAAAACTTACTCTGTTAAATCTCTTGGCTTGAAAAGTATGACCATTTGCACAATAGAGCTTTCGCCATCGCCTTGCACCCCGACGATATATAGACTCTAAAAAAAATTAAACTGGTAAATATTATGTAACTAGACAAAGCTTCATGCTCTGTCCTCAGTAATTAAATTAAAAATTACAGCTGTCAAACCTACAGTTCAATGCATTCCAATGGGGGGAAAAATTCACCAAAAATTAACGAAGACTCAGAACAAAGCCAAATTAAGTTTGCAGAGGTTTTACAAGGGGCACTAACGATTCCAAGCATTTTAAACAGTTTTTGAACATTTTAAGACTCTTTAAAAATAGCGAAAACGGACCTGTCAAAACCATTGAAATGCACTGAAACCTATTCAATGCATTCCAATGGGGGAACCGCGTTTCGCTTAGCGATGTTTCCTATGGCGATTTTCGCTTAAGGACGGTAATCCGTTCCCTTTGGAACGGATTATCCGGTTTTCAATGCATTCCTATGGGAAATGGTGTTTCACTTAGCGATGTTTTCCCATAGCGATGTTTTTTTGGGAACTAATTAACATTGTTAAGCGAGGCACCACTGTACATAATATTTAACACCTCTTCCTCATTATATTGTATAAGTTTTCCCTCAGGTCTTCCACATAACTGAAGTAAATCCTAAAAGCTACCATGGAAGGATGGACTAGTTAGCCCGTATTACAAATCTGGAATGATAGCATAAATGAATGTTGGGACATGGTTTACCTCATTCACCTAGTAATCTCATGGTGTATTACCAATTCTACTACAGTTTAAAAACATCTTATCTTAAAAACATAAAAATGCTTATGAGTTAATCACCCTCTCTTTCAACAAACTCCACAGTTCCAAAGTCAAATAAATCAATTTTATTTTGAACTGAAAGACAGCAATGAGACTATTATTGACTCAATATTCCAATGACGGAGAGAGGATTAAGAATAGTGACAATATGGGCATATTCACAGATGAAGGTGACGAGAAGCGAAAGTTTTTATGTCAGCTCATTCTTTGCTGAATCACCTGGATGCATGTTTGGCAATGGATATTAATCACACCTGAAACATTTCCACAAAAACAGCAGTCATTGGAGGGAGAAAGAAACTTGCAATGAACTGCAAAATGTAACTTCCATAGACAAACTGATATCCACCAATTCCCAATTACAGTGGTGCCTCGCTTAACGATTTTAATTGGTTCCAAAAAAATCACTATGTGAAAACATCGTTAAGCGAAACACCATTTCCCATAGAGATGCATTGAAAACCGGATAATCCATTCCAATTGGAACGGATTACCATCCTTAAGCGAAAATCCCCATAGGAAAAAACGTTAAGCGAAACCCATTGAAATGCATTGAAGCCTATTTCAATGGGGGGGAAAATTCACAAAAAATTCAAAAAGACTCAGAACAAAGCCAAATTAAGTTAACGAGGGTTTTATTAGGTGCACTAATGATTCCAAGCATTTTAAACATTTTTAAACATTTTAGAATATTTTAAAATTAGCAAAAACAGGGCTGTAAAAAAAAACGTTAAGCGAAACAAGGGGACCTAAAACTGTCTTCGTTAAGCATGCTCCCGAAATCGTTAAGCAAAATCGCCCATAGGGAAAATCGTTAAGTGAAGAGCAAGATCGCTCCGAAAAAGCCATCGTTAAGTGAATTTTTCGTTGTACGAAGCAATTGTTAAGTGAGGCACCACTGTATACTGATTTGAGTTTCAATCTACATCACAAGAGTCCAAGAATTCATATAACTGTTTTCATTGAGTCTGAGGATATTAGAATTTCCAAAACCAATTTACCCCTTATTTTCACTATTTAATCACAACAGAAAACAAAGTTACAGATCTTTGAAATGATTTTATCAATTGGGATAAGCATACCTTAAAAACTAATTAACTGATTCTCAATTTCAGAGCCTGATGAAAAATACAGGAAATACTATAGATCTGGGGTGGGCTAATTCACATTTTTTTCCTGTTGATAATATGACACAATATGAAATTGAATCACCCCAGAATCCCATATCTCCAATCTGTAGTTTTTCCTCCCCACTAGAGACCTTCTATTTTTAAAAATTCAAATCCTTTTGTTTTGCTCAAAGTGTGTGACTGCTTCTTCTTTTTAAAAACAATACAGTGGTGCCCCGCTTGACGATTACCCTGGTAGAAGAATCCCTTTACAATGAGGTTTTTGCGATCGCTACTGCCATTGCAAAATGATGTTTAAATGGAGGAAATCGCTTTACGATGACCGGTTCCCTGCTTCAGGAACTGATTCTTCGCTAAACAACGATTTTAAAACAGCTGATTGGCGTCTCTCCAAATGGCCGCCCACTGTGCAAAATGGCTCCCTGCTGTGTTTAGGATGGATTCCTCACTTAACAGGCACTGGAAAATGCCCGCCCTATGGAGGATCTTCGCTGCACAATGAGGTATTTCCCCCACTGGAACGCACTGAACCGGTTTTCAATGCATTTCAATGGGTTTTTTACTTTCGCTTGACGATTTCATTCTACAGCGATTTTGCTGGAACGGATTATCGTCGTCAAGCGAGACTGTAGTCTTTCCTTGGGCAGAGTTCCTGTTTACACACACACACACACACACACACACACACACACACACACACAATATGAGGAAATGAGTGACTGAGAAATGAAAACCTTCCAAAGGCACCTATAAGCACTTCAAATGGAATTGCAATTAGAATCCTTTTTCTCCTCCTTTCTCTCTCTCTCTCTCTCTCTCTCTCTCTCTCTCTCTGTGCGTGTGTAAGAGAAAGAGAGATTACTTACCTTTAACTCCAGTTCTTCAAGTGGTCATCTGTGAATTCATACTATAGGGTTTAATCTGCGCTTACACTGAGGTTTCTGGAATATTCTAGAGCTTTATCACGCGTTCGCCAGGACTGCCCCCCCTTACGCGGAGGAGACAGGTCAGCCAAAACAGATGGTGACTCCAAATCACACTCAAGAGACAGAGCAACCCATGTATTTGGGCTTGTATGTGCCGAATGTGAAATGACTGTAACCTCAGCTGATGTGTTGGCCCAGGATGGAGATTGGCCAAGAAGTGGAGAAGGTGGTTGGCCAAATGGTGGTGGCATGACATCATCACTGGAAACTTCAAGACAGATGGTTGATTGATCTTGCAAAGGAATTGTCGGTATAGCTTTATCTGCTGTTACTCGGGCAGGCTTCTTGGTATTTTATTTATTTATTTGTTTATTTGTTTGTTTATTTATTCATTCATTCGATTTATATCCCGTCCCCATAGACAGCGTCTAGTAGTTTGATAATCCGAAGAAGATTTCTTTGACCTTTTAGGTTTAGAATGATTCGGTACTGAAGGAGGTTCTGGTACAGGACTTGTTTGTAATCCCGGAACCTTGGATTTGGAAACAGTCTTAGATTAGGCCTTAGATGAAGTCAACCTCTGCGTTGGAGAAGTAGTGGGCACATCAGGAGACCCGTCTTGGGACTGGGAAGTCTGAGCGGTGTCCATAGTGGTCTGTGTCGGGTGGAGAGACCGTGCCCAGAGGAAGGCTCTCAAGTGTTGTTGGAGTTTAGGTGCCTGTTTTGTGAAGTTTTTACAAAGTTGACACGAAGCTGGTTGATGGGATTCCCCAAGGCAGAAAAGACAGTGGACGTGTCCGTCAGAGAGGGGAATCTTGTTTGGGCAGAAAGTGCACCGTTTAAACAGAGCCACGGATGCCATAAAAGGGGGAGGGAAGGGGGAAAGGTCAGAAAAGAAACAGTTTGAAAAGTCTGTTACTGTTTCCTCTGTTATTTAACTCTTAGTAAGAAGCGAAAACAGTTGGCAAACAGAGAGCTTGTTGTGAGATGAAACCTCAGCGGCGGCAAAAAGGAACTGAGGCAATCGCCAGGACGGGCAGCCCACGTGTACTGGGGGGCAGTCCTGGCAAACACGTGATAAAGCTCTAGAATATTCTGGAAACCTCTGCGCAAGCACAGATTAAACCCTATAGTGTGCATTTACAGAGACCACGAATAAGAACCAAATGCCTCGATACAACTCCACATGAACCAATATGAATTAATTCGCATTTCCTGACTGTATAGTTGTACCCTCATGTGCAAATGCATTATGACAACGTAAATACCAAACACATGATGGCTCTACATATCCAAAAGTATTGTACTTACTGTCTTCCCCTGGACATGGCATTCCAGGCCTTTCAGGTACACAGGGAAACACTGCGAGAAAACCAGTGACACTAGATTAGCTATTACTTCAAGCACATTTGAGAAAATATGATAATCAACAATGCTAAACATGTTCCATAAAACAGTGCCAAACTATTTGGTTGCATAATTTATGGCAGTTTTAAGATGCGTAAAGTGCTGTTTATGGTGAAGTGCCATTTAGGTTGTATTGCATTACATACCAGGTGATATTACAAGTACAGTGGTGCCTCGCTTAACGATTACCTCGTTAAACAATGAAACAGTTTGACGATGAAGTTTTTGCAATCGTTTTTGCGATTGTAAAACAATGTTCTAATAGGGAAAAATCGCTTAACGATGATCGGTTCCCTGCTTTGGGAACCGATTTTTTGCTAGACGATGATTTTAAAACAGCTGATCGGCGGCTCTAAAATGGGCCGCCCACTGTGCAAAATGGCTCCCCCTGTGATTTAGGATGGATTCCTCACTTTCCAGGCAGTGAAAATGTCCGCCCCCATGGAGGATCTTCGCTGGACGCTGAGGTATTTAGTCCATTGGAACGCATTGAACCGGTTTCAATGCATTTCAGTCGGCTCTTTCGTTTTGCATGACGAGGATTTCGCTTAACAGCGATTTCAATGGAACGAGTTCTCGTCAAGCGAGGCACCACTGTAGCCATTTCCCAAGTACAACTCTTTTAGGATCCATGTCAGTTTAGACAGATCACATTATCTGCTCAAAAAAAGGTGAATGACATTTACATGAAAATAAGAAGTTACACAAAAACTGGTGTGAAAGACATTGAAGATTTTATTCAGAAGTATGAAAATGTACAATTAAATATCTTTGCTCATGAAAAAGTTAACATATCTGACTGTTCTCACAACAAAAATGTTGTTGCTTAAGTTGTGCCTCCATAAGGGTGATGACCGTACAGTGGTGCCTTGGCTTACAAACTTAATCTGTTCCAGAAGATGATTGTGACTTGAAATGGTCAAAGCACCATTTTCCATAGGAATGCATTGAAATGCAATTAATCTGTTCTGGCCAAATAAAACAATCCCCCCAAAACCCCACAAAACACTGCAGCACCCATCGGAAACGCAATTAATCCGTTCCGGCCGAAGGGGGAGGGGAAGAAAGGCAAGAAAAGCGTGTAAGACCCATGGGAAATGCAAAAAAAGCAAAGCAGAAAGCAAGCAAATCGTGCAAGACTCATCGGAAATGGGGGTGGGAAAAAAAACAATAAAACCTGCAAGACCCATCACAGCATAGAAACATAATCCCCCCACCTCCCCCAAAGCCACACTGCAAATCCCACCCAAAACAATTTTTAGAAAGCAGAAAGCAGCACCTTACCTTAACAGGCAGTCCAAAGCCTCCTCCGATCGCACTCACTCTAACCGCTGGGGTGAAAGAGCTACAAAGAAGCAGCCTCTTCGCCTACCAACGGTTAGCAATTTGAATTCCCTCCTTTTCTCCCTATCCTTTTCTGTTTGTAACTGGAAGCTCTGGCCGCAAGTCGAAGCAAAATTTTGCGGTCGGGGCTGGTTGTAACTCGAAATAGTTGTAAGTCGGGACATTTGTAAGTCGAGGCACCACTGTACTAGCAGGGCAAGATTTTAAGTAATTAAAGAATTTATGTTTCTGTCCTGAGGTCTCTCTGGTTTTGTGTAACCAGTCTGATTCCATGCAAGCTGTGAAAGTCCCAGGAGAGAAGGAGGAATTCTCCTCCTCTCTCTTCTTCTCAAAACAACTCTAGACTAGCTAAGACAATATGACTGACCAAAGGCCACCGAGTCAGCCTTACGGCTAAGTGGGGACTTATATTCGAGTGCCCAAATCCCAGTCCAACACTCTAACCAGCACACTGAATTCTTTTGAACAACATTTTTCCTCAATAAAGAATAAAACTTAGGCTAAACACATCAGGCACAACACCTTCAGCAAAATTTCTCCTTCTCCCAGTAGCCCCCATATCATACCCCATCTCACATCATTCAGGATTAGGCCTTATCCCTACAGACCAGTTTTCAAGGAGTGCAAGTGACTGTTGAGGGAAAGAAGAAACATTTATCCCATGGACTTCCTTAGCTTACTGATGTTAGGCTCCAAATCTAAGTTAGATGATTAGATTATGAAAGGTACTTTTTGTGTATACAGTGGTGCTTCACAAGACAAATGTAATTTGTTCCGCAAGTAGCACTATCTTGCGAAATTTTTGTCTTGTGAAAAGTGGTTTCCCATAGGAAACCACTTTTCCTATGGGAAACCACTTTTTAAGGAAAAGTGAGAGGCTCACTTTTAATCTTCAAATATATACCCTGTGTCTTCAATACCAGCTAGCCATTCCTCTACCTCCTCATTTTTACTTTATCATATAACTTCATGAAGCTAAGGAATGTGGAAGCCTGAAAATCATTTTGTGACCCATGGTATAACCTAATTAAAACAATGTCAATTTTTGGAATGTTTCTTACGGCCAATACAATTACCTTTCCTTTGTGTATTGTAGCTGTAACTTAAGGAATGCAAGTACATCAGTGGAAAAGGACAAATTATTTTCTCATAGTAGCAACAGAACCTTATACAGTGGGGTCTTGACTTGAGAACTTAATCCGTATTGGAAGGCGGTTCTCAAGTCAAAAAGTTCTCAGGTCAAATCTGCATTTCCCATAGGAATGCATTGAAAACCATTTGATCCGTATCTGCTCTTTTCCGTCCATAGAAACTAATGGGAAGCTGCTATTCCGCCTTCGACCACTAGAGGGGGATATTTTGTTTCTTTTTTTCTTAGGTCAAGAAAGGTTCAGGGAAGGCAGGGAAAATACAGTCCAGGCAGTACAGTACCAGGCAGTCTGAAGACTGTCTCCCAATCCACTCTCTAAACGCTGGGAGGAGTGAGGAAGCAGACAGGCACCCTTTTCACTGGCCAACAGTTAACTGAAAGTTCACATTTTGCACTTTCCTTGCCTCCCACGTGGGTTTTTTTCAGTTCTTAACTCAAATCTAAGTATGTAAGTCAAGTCAATATTTTCCTGTGAGAGTGGTTCTTAAGTCAAAATGTTATTAACTCAAGCCGTTCTTAAGTCAAGACCCCACTGTAGGCTACTGTGTCATGAGTTTCATTCCACTACTGTGCAGAATAACCAACACAAGGACTACCATGTTGTTCTGACAAGGCAGGGAGTTGACAACACTATATCCACAGCTTATTGGGGCTAATTCAAATGCTCATTATGAAAAGTGCCTGTTGGGAAAAGGATCTCATTACTAATTTTGAACTAACTTACAGGTCTTTCTCCCTCTCACACATACACACATGTTCTTCCACTATACTAACTTACCATGTATTAGAAGTTCAGAATCCTTATTTAGCTCATATAATCGAAAAGCCTCTTCCAATTCCAGCTGAGAAGAAACAGTACATGGATCCCCTAAAAAGAAATAATGAATTTATTCAATGTCTAAACACAATAAACCATGGGTTAACTGGCCTTACATATTAAAATTATTTTACTCCCCACAAGTAATACTCTCTCTAGAGTTCCTGATTCTGCTATTTCAAAACATGACTGTTTTCCAAATTAAACAAGGAAACTTATGAACTGTTTATTTTATGTAAGCCCAGAACATAGAACCTGTTATTCAAGCTTACCTCCACACACTCTGTATAAATTAAATATTAGAGTTCGCCACCAATCAAGCTGTATAAAAATTCAATAAATAAACAAAACAAATAAATAAGTCTTATTCTAAACACACTTCTGAATTTATTAGTATATCAAATTCTGAGTAATTTCTATGCATTTGATGAAATGAGTAGTTTACAAAAGCTAATGCCGTAACAATGTGTGTTAATCTTCCTTGTTTTTTTTATGAGGACTGCTTAAGATACTTTTCTGAAAGCTATATAGTTACATATTTAAGATCTTCTTCAGGGAATACTAAAAATGTTATGTCTAGGATACTGATATATATAATTTTAAGCAGTGTCTCCCAACTTAGTTCTTGGACTGCAATTCCCAAAAGCCTTCACCACCAGCTGTGCTACCCAGGGTTTCTGGGAGCTGCAGTCTGATCGCCTGGGTCACCCAAGGTTGGGAACCACTGACTTAAAGGATCACATGGCATTTTCACTTGCCAGGGTTCTAAAAGCACTTTTGCCAACAAGAACCCATATTCTAGAGCAATGGTTCCCAACCTTGCCTAAGCCAGTTGTTCTTGGACTGCAACTCTCAGAAACCCCAGCTAGAACAGCTGGTGGTGAAGGTTTCTAGAAACTGCAGTCTAAGAACACCTGGGTTATCCAAGGTTGAGAACCACTGCTCTAGAACAGCCATTCTCAATAGGGGCCATGTAGTCTCCTGGGGTGCCCTGGCATGTTTGAAGGGCAGCACAGAATGGAAACAACTCATACACACCCTGATAAGGTTCATTGTGCAATGTATACAATCCCGATTCAACCTTTATTTCTTTCTTATTATGTTTATAGATGTGGCCAAAAAAAGGTTGAGAATGAATACTCTAGAGCAACTGTCTCCAAACAGCAGACGAGTATGGAAGCTAGACAACATGATACAATCATAATGCAATCATAATGCAGAATACAACCACAGGAAAGGGGGAGGAGTAAAGCTTTTACTTGCCCTTATAGTGAGCAGGTACTGATTCATGGCAAACTGATTCATGGCAAACACAAACAGTACAGTTATGAGGATCTGGGCATTCCAACTTGTGCTCACTATGACAGGAGCACCAAACAGGAGATTTTTAGCAACATTTTTCCATGGGAGAAGAAGAATACCTCTTTTCTTAAATGGTACCTATCTGGCTGAGGATCTGTCAGAAGCCAACTGCATTGAGCACAGGAAAGGGTTGTCATATGTTATTTTTCAGTTCCTCCATGGGCAACTGAACTCTACGGTTTGTCAATGTTTGTCTCCTTAGAAGAATTTACAAAAGTTCATATTCTACAAATATCATAGTAAAACAGATTATAGTACAACAGTCCAGACAGTTACAGATAAATGATATACAGTAAATGATGTGGAGAATTTTCCACGGAAAAATACAACATTAGGAAATTTTACAGAAATTTTCTTTAATGATGGGCAGGCATAGTTTATGCATCCACATTATTAGCACCATGAAGCAGACCTACCATTTCAGGTAGGCCTTGTGACTGAGTAGCAGTGAATTCTGGGTTTCACACCTACCAAGCAGAAGGGATGTGACCTTCAAGAAAATTGTACACCATATCTTACAGTTTTTTTTCTTATTCAGTATTCCTGCCATACAGACTTTGATCTTCCACCTGTAGCTGGAACTTTCAATTTCTCTGACATTTTCCTTGACATTGCATGCTAACAAAGGCAGTTCTCTCCTGGATTCTGTACTCCTCCTGAATCTCATGTACAGCAGGACTGTGGGACCCTCAGGATCAGTACCTACAGTTTCACTTATCTGCTGTCTGAAAATTTTAAATGAAAACCCCCTGAAATATGCATTTTCCAGGTGTATTACCAGAACTGGCCACTAGAGAAAACCAGAAATGATGCTATATAGCAGCGGTCCCCAACATTTTTAGCCCCGCAAACTGACTTGGGAAGGTGGGGCACCCCCTGCGCTCGTGTACGCATGCCCAAGGGCAGTACAGCGCTCGTGTGCATGCCCAAAGGGCAGCACAGTGCTTGTGCACATGTGCAAAGGGCAGCACAGCACTCATCTGGGCGCTCACGTGCAGCCGCAAACAGGCTGTGGGGGGAGGTTTCTCTCTGCGGCCTGGTCCGGCTCAGGCCACGGACTGGAACCGGGCCGCGGACCGGGGGTTGGGGACCTCTGCTATATCGTGTTTCTATATTTGCGCTTTTTGGCATCCATGGTGAGGTGGGGCTTGGAAGTGATCCCCAGTGAATATCACAGTCCTACTATATACCAAGGGAGAATCTGTACATTTTTAGGCAAAATATAGTGCTTATTTTGTGTAACTCATATCCTCTTTTCTGTTATTACTATTGTGCCTCAAGTGGAAAGTGAGAGCCCAGTGGTTGAGTATGGCATCTTTAGAAGAAAGGAGGTGAAGAAATCTTTTCTATGAAGAAGAGGCCAGATGCAAACCCTGGTATCTCCCAGTGGGTTTGTCACTCTGAAGAGCCACAGTAGTTATTTGAATCAAAACTGAACTACAAGATCAGTAGTGTACTCGGTATATTTCTACTTCCTATATTTCCTGCTGGCTTTATCTATCTACAAAAGACCATATGCATGCTAGAGACATGCAGGTTAGTGTTATCCGGACAATTATCAGAATAGCTGACTGGGGTTATCTGTTAGTGACAGTTCAAAAATCTGCACACTTCCATGCCTACTCCACTCATTGTAGATGCCATTTTACTGGATTTATTTGATGAAGAATGCTTGTGGATTGCAGCCATTTTTAAAAGATCTTGTCACTAACTATGTGCTCATACACAATGGAATGAGTGGTTCTCCTGCCAAAACGTGCTGCTGAGGTTCCAAGACAAGGCTGTGCAGGGACAGAAATGCCATAGGTGTGAGTCACAAAGGACATGAAGAAGAAACATAAATCTGCATACCTCAAATGCATCCCTGCTACACTCACTGTGATCCTAGGATGATTCCTGGAAGATCCTGGTGCTGGAAAATAAGCCCCAGACCATGCCCATTCCTGATGTACAGGAAGGAAGCGACTCACAGGATTCTGCACAAAACTGGTCCTCCCACTCCCCTTCCCCTGTTATCTGAGGAAATATTCCAGAATAACTACAAAAATATTTTGCTTCTGATCATGCTGACAGCCATATACAGTGGTGCCTCGCTACACGATTGCTTCGTTTAACGATGAATTCGCTTAACAATTAGTTTTCCGGAGCGATCTTGCGCTGTTTCATGATGTTTCCTATGGGCGATTTTCGCTCTACGACGGTGGGGACCTTGCCTCGCAAGACAGTTAATTTTCGGGTCCCTGTGTTTCGCTTTACGATGGTTCTGACAGCTCAGGTTCGCTTCGCTAAACGGGTGTTTGAATGGTCACTGTTTCGTTAGACGGCTGTGTTCGCTTGGGAAACGCGTTTCGCTTAACAATGTTTCCTATGGCAATTTTTGCTTTACAATGGCAATCCGTTCCCATTGGAACCCATTGGAAACCCGCGTTTCGCTTAATGACAAAATCGCTTGACAGTGATTTTTGCGGAACGCATTAACCTCGTCTTGCGAGGCACCACTGTATTCACTTGGGAATGAATTGCCCTTGGTAATTTGAGATACAGTTTTCATCAGAAGTCCAAGGACTGTATCATCTTATGTTGTACTTCAAATATGTTGAAAAAGACCACCTAAGATGGAAGCAGAACTGCCATAGAATTGAACTCCAGACACTTAAAAGAGTGTTTTCACGCACACACATTTAGAAAACAAACCTGTTTTCTTCATCCAAGTACAAAAACAATTGCGGTACAAGTTTCAAAAGAATAAAATGAAAAATGGGCAGGTGCTCTTGAATGGGACTAAGGGGATTTACTGCCCACAATTCTTCTTGCTAAAGAGCACCAGAACTATTTACTTTCTATAACAATGCTTTTTGCTGTGCCAAGTTTAATGTTGCCAGCTCTGTTGCACCATCGCCACAAATTTTAGTGCTTTTGCTTTAAAAAAAAAACTTAAATTCTAACCTTCACATGTACAAAGAAATCTGACAACATGGAAACAATGGCTGCAGTGTAGGCTCATGAGTGCATGCACAAAAAAACTATGGTCAGATGGGAATTCTTTCCAAACTAGAGACGATCCCAACTTGCAACCATAGTGCTTCAATGTCATCTTAGTAATTAAAGTTGGGCCCCCATATTTGCAGTGTCGGTATCCACAGTTTCATTTATCAGTGGTTTGCTGCAGTATTATATACAATACACAAGGGGACTCCCATGTAGTCTTTGTCCCACCCCTTATGCCCTTTGTCCTATAGGATACATCAAATCCGTGATTTCAGGCATCCACAGAAGATCATGGAAGCAATCTTATGTGGGTATGGAGGTCATTCAGTACTAAAAATATGTAAACAAAAGTAAATAAAACTGAACTTAATATACATTTATAAAGTTAGAAAGCACTTTGGTTATTATCTATTCCAAAGCCCTGCTCAGTAGAGGTTCTGCAATACAGTTTCCTTCACAAATGGCAATCCAGCCTCTGCTTCTCTTAAGTGACTGAGACCTCAATGCCTCCTGGGGCACACCTCTTTTGATTAGGGAGCGTCACTTATCCTTTGTTCAAACCCGCTCCATTTTTATTTCCACATATTGGTTCTTGCTCTACCCTCTAGAAAAAATAGGGAAGCTAAAACATCTCAGATAGACGACCAACACATCTTGGTTTAAAAACCACCAATGAAATAGTACCCATCATGTAGCCCATT